CCTAGCAGGGAGAGGAATGTTTTGTGGAGTATACTAATGGCTTCCTTTCCTCATATTTCTGCCACACATTCAGTGGGTATTCCCCCTTGCTTAAACTAGAGAGGAGAGCTTTCAGGAGCATAATCCAGAAGAATGCTATCTGTTCCCAGCACCAAAGAGCAGATCACTGTGCACTCAACCATAGCTCCCCTTAAATCCATCAGAATTACTGCCCCGTTCCTTCTATATACACATGGGAGAGTTTTCAGACATCTGCCAGCTCCAAGAAGCAACAAACATGGACCCAACGTTGTCCGTGACACCAGAGTAACTCTCTCTCTAGGACCTGAACATGAAAATAACCCGTCTGCCTCTTGCGCAGCCAGCAGTACTAGAGAATCTCAAGCTAGGATACAGCCAGCAATTCTGATGACAAAGCTTTGTCTTTCCTAGCTGGGTCGGCACTACAGGAGCAAGAATACAGTCTGCAACAGCAGCAGCTCTAATTCCGGCCTGTGCTGGAACCATAGCTGTTAAGTTTGGAGAATTCCTTTTCTGATCATAACTCCACTTGCATTCTCTTCCTTTTTATTTAAGAAAGGATTAGAACCTCCCAGAATAAATCACTTCATTTCTGAACACAAGGTGAGCAAGGCAGTCTAAAACTGAAGCAGGAGAAAGTTTGCTTAGGAGCAACTGGAATTAAGCACTACTCTTGCATACGCATGCTTCCAGAGCATGTCCTCTTCAGGACTACCAGGTAATCTTGCTGTGGATACAGCTGTTAGAGCACACAGACACTCACTACTCTTAAAAAGAGCACATCAGTCTAATTGCCTCTGTTCCTTACGGCATGACTAAGAGAAGCAAAGCTCTATGGAAGTGGGGGTAGGCAAAAACGTAACCATGTTGAGGCAACTATTTATGAATCAGAACCAATGAAGAGCTACCTTTCTTCTAGACAGCCTTTGAATGACACCACTCAGTCTGAACGCTCTCAAGAACACCCTGTTTGCTGCTGATATGCAGAATTGCCCTCTCATATCAAGCCTCAGCCCTAGACACAAAGTTATGAAGAGGTTCTTTTTGCAAACAAAGTGTCAGCTGCCAGTCCAAAAGACTGCAGCTGTATAATATGTTTAAACTAAACTAGAAAGGGAAGGATCTCTTATGTACTCCTTGAGTGGAGTTTACAGGACTTCCCATAAGTGGCCTGAAATAAATGCCACTGAGCCACTTGTGCTTGCCAGCAGGCAGGGATCAGATGTATGTAGCTCTTGGAAATTCTTCCCACCAGGATAAATTCAGAGAAAGATGATAAAGTGAACCCTGTGATGCCATCAGCCTGTACAAAGGATAAGATGTCAGTAAGTTCACAGGCAGATACAGAGCCCAGTGTTCCTCCTGCCATGATCCAGCCTGCTGGTGTACAAGCATAAATCAGAGGATTTTATAGAGAACAGAGACCCCAGTTCTGGAAGGAAGAGACAATACAAGAGCTCTTTGGTGGACAGGAAAGCCACAGAGGTCTGCAGTTTATGAAAGAGATTATTTTTAGATGACAGATCAAGCAGATCATTCTTTCCTGTACACCATCAGCATCAAGCTAAGAACTCACACGGACAGAAGTCCACAGGTTAGCAAGCACACACTCCTCTCGTTTGATGATCCTTGCAGAAGCCAGAAAACAGACAGCGAAATTATCAGTGGAAAGGGTTGATGTCAAGGCATCAGATAACACATCCTGACTGCACACAGATTTTTAGAGGTACAAGGATAAAAAAAAAAAAAAAAAGCACAAAAGCATCCAAGGATGCACCACTAGCAAAATCCTCTCCTGCTCATGAAATAAGCATTTCAGTACAGGTGGCTTCCGGAACAGGGTAACTTGTTGAAGTTCAAGCCAAAATGAGTAATGCTGGATGAGAGTCACAGAATCTGTAGCAACTGACATTCATAATCAAGGTTACAAGAAGCACACATGTAACTTTAGGGGCCACAGCTCTCCAGATAGCTCTCAAAGCTTCACAACACTGGGGGGCAAACTCCATGTGTACTAACAAGAAAGACTGCTTGCAAGGGAAGGGCAGAGTAGATCAATCCAAGGATAGCGCGTACACAAAATTGGAAAGTTTCAGCACCATTTCTCTGGTCAGTCCCTTGAGATCAAAAACAGAGAAAGGGGCTGAGAAGGGAAACAGTATCCAGGATCAGACTCTTCTGCGCCTGAAGGTGGTCCACCAATGGTGGATTCTTCTGCCAAGCTCTGGTCCAACTGATGTGGCAGTGTAGGAACACGTGTACCTTCATGCCTATCATGACAGATAGCCTTGAAAGGAATCAGATGCCCCGTCCTGGTTAAGCAATTTTTTTCCTAGGCAAGGGTCACTTCTAATAAGCCTTACCTGACCCAATTTTGATCAGTCCGTTGTGCTGAATGAAGATGGTGTCGCAGGTCAGGTTGCCATGGATGATTGGGGGATCACAGGAATGGAGGTAGCTAGAGATTCAGAACAGAGCATTGGTGAGGGCACTGCCCAGGGTGAGGCAGGAATCCCTCCCTTCATCCCTCCCCTGTCACAAGTAATATCAGAAGAGAAAAAGAGGGCAAAGGCTACACACCAGGGATTTACAATAGTGGGAAGGTTAAGTGACTGTACACCAACCTCTAGCTTGGGCCAGAATCATGAAAATTAAGCAACTGGCCTCTTACTAAGAGGCTCCAGAACATGAGAGAAAATAAGAAGCCTTCTCTGATCAGTTCTCAAGAAACAGAGTTCCAGGAGGAAAAGAAAAGATTTCCTCTGCCCCAGTTCTGGAGAAACACTGTCAGGTGGATGCTAAAAGGGCTCAAATGTTATACTAAAGAAGTCAGAGCCTTATTCTAGCCCCACCATACAGCATCAAAAAGGTGCTCAATGCTGTACAAATATTAGTGTCTCATCACATGTTCCAGCAAGCTCAAATAAAGCTTTTCAGGGCTTGGGTCCCAGGTACATTTGAAATCACCTGGTTTTGCATCCCACTCTGCTTGGTTTTATGTTAGCAGCCAGCACAAATAAGGACTGCCAGCTCCAACAAGCTTGTTAGAACACCAGCTATGCCTGGACAGCTATAGCTAGCCAAATGGGAACAGTCTTCTCTACAGAGTAGGAATCTTGCTCTGATGTCTGGGTTGTTTTTTCAAGGCTGATGTTAGCTACATACCAACTCTGGCTCAGGTTGAGAAAAGTCTTTAAAAAAATTAATCCTACTCAGCTGGGTTCACTGAGACAGCTGCAGAAGATCTGCATCATCAAGAAATATACTGAACCACAGCCTCTGCACACACTCGTATTTTCCCAGCTCCACATATACTCCTAACAGCATCACGCCACAACAGTTACGGGTACAGCACACACTGCAAGGCTGCAGCCTGTAAAAATCAATAAAATTTTCCTCGCTCCCCTCGCATAGAATTTGATTTGAAACTTCTTTGCAACATCTTCTCAGCCATGATTAGAGCTAACAAAGCTGGATACTCTGGAGTGCTAGGGAATGCTCCCTAATGCCCAATTCACATACTCACTAGTCAGTATTAGCTTTTGGATCCCAGTGGTAGCTAATACTACGTTACACCATCTTAGAGGCTTCAATATTGTTTAACTGAGCTCTGGGATTGTTAGAGAAAGTACAGTTGATACTCTGCAGACTATGACTGGGACAAGAATCGGACTGTGTGACTGAAAGTCCTCTCCATGCTCCATTCCATGAAGCTTGCTAATAATTGGCAGAATATGTTTACAGCTTGTAATACTCTGTTCACAGACAGGCACCAGGGAGGCTATATTTAAATAGATGGCTAGATCCCAAGACCTATACCTCACATACCTGAGAGCAGAGAGGATCTGGGTGCACCAGCGCTTCCAGGCCTACAGACATAAGAATAAAAAAAGATTAGAAAAAGAAAGTCATGGAAGAACTAATCCAAAGCCCACTCATATGAAGGAACACATCCTCCATCAGTCGTTGCCTGGCTTCTTTTACCCAGAGCAGGCGTGTAGGAGCTAAGAACTTATGGGATCAATACTCCCAGGCTCAATTCAGTTTCCACACATTTGTATGTGTCTAGAAACATGCCTCCCCTCCAATTTCCTCTTATGCACAGACCCCTTCCATCTTTCCTGTATTCGCGCATGGAATGGGACATGTCTATCACACCACACGCCAGAAGCTGCAGAACAGCAAGAAACACAACAAGTAGTATAGAATAGGTGTCCCAGACGACCTGCAACTAAAGTAGTTTACAGTAACACAAAGGAATTTCAGCCACACATAAGCACCAGGTTTCCTTCTCATTAGGATCCCCTGCTGAAAGAACTTTCCAGAAGCTGATGGGCCTGAGTGAGAACAGGTGTATATGGAGAAGAAGGAGAAGAAAAAAGTTACCTTTTCATTCATAGTCTTGTGGTTTTTCTTTGTCTTCTTCAGGAACTGTTTCAAGCTCCCTGAGGACATATATTCAGTGATGAAGATCACCTGTACAGACAGCATGAGACATTACCCTCTGCTTTACTGGTTATCCACAGGATATAGAGGGAGTGAGAAAACCCAAGGGACTGCTCACTTTACTTACCCTAGCCTTATTCTCCTTTACATCAGCCCAGTATTTGTGAAATTTCACAATGTTCAGATGTTCCAGCTGAATTAAGTTGTCAAACACTGCCTTAACCTTCTCCTATAACATCAGGAAGATAAAGGTGTGTTATATCAGAGACTACCTCAGCCCACATCTTTCTTTCTCTTGGGTCTGGGTGCCCATATACAACATGATACATTTCAAGCTGCTATGCCAAGAACAGACAGCATCTGATTCTGTCACACCCTGCACCTCAGCTGAGCACTGTTCGATCACCAAGATAAACCAACACAAGAGCTCACGGAAATAGCACAGCAATAGTTCTCTGTCACATTTTCTGCAGACATCACGCTTCAGCTAAATTTGCTGCATCTAAGCAGCACAGCACTCCTATCATGGATGAGTTGCGAGTCCAGACAACAACTCCCATGAAAGGTCACTGAAGCCTATAAATCCTGCCCTGGCCCAAGATGTGGAAAACACCTCAGCTTACCTCTTGAAGCTTAAAGTTCTTCCGCTCAGAAAACTGAACCTCATTCCACACCACTTCCACACCTTCCTCTGTATCCATGGCCAGGTAGGCACTATCGATCCCTGGGACATTGCGCTGATTCACCTGGATGGGAAGGTTGGAAAGAGATGCAAGATCCAAGTCAGTAAGACATGATCATTGTTATGCCACTCACTTGACTATTACAAACTTTGAACATTAGCTTTTAAAGAAATGAGCATTCCAGGACTAGATTGTCGACGTGTATTTCAAGACTGGCATATAACCGAAGGTGAGTATACTGTAGGCCACATAACAAGAAGCCAGAGCCGGGCATTTTCAAGGGAAAAATTTTTTGCACAAACACTATTTTGCAGTAAAAGCTGCCTTTTGGCACTGAGAGAGTAGATCTATTTTTCTGTTTTTTTATATGGAAGGTTTATATGCAAAAAAGGCTCAAAAAACTCAGCCATGACTTTCTGGAGGAATTTGTTGAAACATTGTAATAGATGAAACACAAGAGAAAAGAACCTAATCCAAGCACAGAGAAATGAAAGCAAAGCTGCAAGTTGGGAAGAGACTTGGGAACGGATTACACAATTTAAACTGCTATAGTAAATTTCCCTAGGCAAGTTAACCCAGCACACGTATGTCCACACCTGAAAAAAAATAACCACCCCACAACAGCACACACATCACACAGACATAAGAGGAGGGGCCCTGCTAAAACAAGAGTATAAAGCATAAAGCCTAAGGCGAAGACGGCTAGGGCAGTGAAAGAGCTTCAATACTAGAAGATCTATGCAGTTGTAGGATGGGCAGCACTCCTAACAGCAACATTTACCATAATATTGTTTCTTCAGAAACACAGCATCAAAGACATTTATGGTTCTTCCATCCAATATCTAGAGCACCCTTCTGTACTGTAATGTCTTTCCTATGTTATTTCACAGGCATGCAGAAGTCATAGTCATGGTTAAAGTCCTACTGCACTAGGCAACATGCAGTGATAAGAGTGGATTTCTACCTCAAAGTACATACGTAGAGCAGAGAAGACAGAGGGTAGAATTTACCTGTTTAATTATAAATCAACCATAACAATTCACCATCACCCAGCCACATACCCAGAACCGCTTTACTTTCAGCTGATCCAACTGTCCCCCTGAGATAAAAGTCAATATACAGATTCAGCTATTGCTCCAGACTCATTTTCCACTTATATTAGCTCCTTGAAGTCCTGGCCATTTCACTGCTTTTCCTACTAATATTGTCTCATATTCTCTGCCCTCCCTAAGGATCCCCCTCAGCATCCCATTTGCTGGAAGTTTCTCACTCCACACAAAGGTGTCTCCCAAAATCCCTTACCCCCTGTCAGTCACTCTTACATAGTAAGATTTACTCAGTTTCTGCTACTGTGCTTATATGCTAATAGGAAACTGATAGAAATATTCTGCCATCCACAAACTTGAATGGATTAAACACTGACATACCCATTCATTGGATATTTTAATCAATAGCTTAACAACTTCAACTGACAACCAATCACTATAGGTGGTATTTTTGTTGTGATCTTCCAAAGGAATCATATGTCCAATGATATTCAGTATTTTGAAATTACACATGATATACTGGAGAGATAAATGACTACAAGAACAGGATAGCTACAGAGTGACACAGATTGCTCAGTAAACTCAGCAGTAAATTATCCTAATAAAACCAGATGCAATGGGGTGGCACAGGCAGGAATAAGGAATACCACCTATAATTACAGAAAGGCAGACTAAACTGCAGAAAACAACTACTGAAAACAATCACAGCAGACAAGCAATTTAGCATGAACCACTCCCTATCCACCTCAATCTTGTCTCCTGAACAACATCGGGGAAGGGATAAGGTCTGAAAAGTCTGTCAAGGAGACATTCATCATATTTATCAGAAGGAAGTCGTTTGCTCTCTCTATATTGATACGGACATCTCAATACTAGGTCAGGCCTGTTAAGTGTTATTGTTAAAGAAATCCAAAAGATTGAAGACAAAAAAAGTCAGACAAAATTTATTCCTTCATATTTTAGTAAGAACAACATCTAAGGAATGATAGTAGTACAAGAATCCTCAATACAATTAATAAAGTGGGATGCCAAAAGGCTTTATTAAGAAAAGCTTAAACTTCCAGCCAACTGAAAGCAGACATGTGCTTTAGTATTGCCAGGGAAAGACAGAGCCATGACTACCCATGCCCTGTGCCCATGCATCCCTGATAGTCTCTTCTTTCATCATACTTTCTGCATAATTGAAGAGCTTCTAGCTTTGCTGGATTAATTAAGTCCTCAAGTATTGACAACTACTCAAAATCTGCCCTGATGACACAGCCAGCAGGGGTGGATTTGTCATATCTTCTCCTATTTCTATAAAAGCTTACCAAATATAAGTCATTTCCATGACTCATAGGCAATACTTTAAGGCATCACATATGACTCAAGACACCAAATCCATCTGACATCACTGAGGGTAAAAAAAAAAAGAAAATCAGTTCAAGAGGTAATAAACAGTTTGGGCAGAAGAGTAAGAGGGGAAAAATGCAGACAGACAACTGAAAAGGCAAAAGTAAATTCTTTCTTTGTCTAGGTTGCCAAATCACTGCTCCACATCCCTTCTCCATGCTCAGCAAAATGGAATCCTAAGCCCTCATGAAAACAGGTTCTGGCACTTGTCCTGCACCTTCCCTTGGGTTACAGCTGGCTATTGCTTCCAAGTAGCTATCGGTGACTGACTGACGGACGGTTGCAAGCTTAACAGGTCACAGTTTAGAAGCTCTATGGTAGTTAATACTATTGTAAACAGATGAAGCTGGACCAGTATAAATTACAATTCTCCACAAATCTGAGCAGAGCAAGAGGAAATCAAAAAGAGGTGTTCAAAATACTCCCTTCCATGCCTTGCCCTGAAGGGCAAGGGGTGCAACCAACAAAGAATGTAGTCTGGTACACCCATGCCCCGAAGAGAAGACATCCAGGAGAAGAAATACAGTTTTCATCTGAAGAATGCCAAGTTGCTCACTACTTGGGCATAAGCATAGGACAAAGACAATGGGGGTTCACTCCTTACTTTGCCCTAACTTCCTGCAAGCTTTTCAAGTAATTTAAGACTATTTTAATAACACTTCTTTAATTTTAGTTTTAAGACGTCTTTAATTTTAGTGGTGCTTTGATGACCCAGATCAAAGACAAAGTGCCTATGAACTGTGCTGATGGAATGACAAAAGAAATTCCAAACAGAGGACTTCAAAAGAAGAGAACCTCATGCTCAGAGACACTGAGAGGGAGTGAAGCAAGATCAGATCAAGACTGGCATAAATAAAATACCCTGTATTCTTAAAGATGCTGCATTGCTCTGAATAGAAGCAAGTGGTTTACAACTACCCTTCTTTAAAGTGCCAGTTTCTTTCCCAGAAAATCCACATAAACTAGGCAGGTCTTTAAACTATGATAGAGAAAGGTTTTCTTTACTAAGTTCTGTTTACCATGAGTTTCTAAAATAAGACAGAGGAAACAGTGCTGCCACTACAACAAATTTATAACTGAAATATTAACGTAGCTCTTTAGCTATACAAAGAAGAGCTAAAGAAACTCAAAAACATTTAAAGTGAATTTAAATAGTTAAGAGGGGAGAAGAGAAAAAGATTCAAATGCTGCTATTTCAAGGCATAAGCTAGCGACAAGGGAATAAAGTTAGGAAGGTGTAGTTCCCTTGGTCAGGTTATTGCAGAATTGTTCAATACAGATTTTTCCATAGCTCTCAAATATGCCTATCAACGAAAGACGACTTCTGGAGAGACGTTCTCTGGTTCACAAAAATCTGTCAACTGATAAAACATTCAGCCTAAGCCACAAGTGACAGTGATGATAAAAACAGAAAGCAAAAAGAAAAAAAAAATCAATAAAATAAGAATAAAAATGGGATAATTAAATTAACAGTACAGAATGAAACAGTGCATTGAGGAAAATGAGGTTAAAAAGTGACAGCATGCTAGGCCAAACACTTATAAAGAGCAGGACATCGGGGTGAGAATACAACAAACATTAAAAAGTTAGCATGGCCACTTGCTCAAGCCAGAGAAAAAGAACAAAACGTTGCTTAGCCAAACTTGCAAAAGCTCAAGAACAGAGGATAATATGCCTATGGAAGACACTAGCAGTACCTCAACAGAAACATTTGCTTTTCTCCTCAGTTCAATGAGAAGTAAAGTAACATATTTACCAATAAAAACAGGGAAAAAAGCAGCTGTCTCAGAAAGGTGCAGTTAATCTAGAGTTGAATTAAAGAATATAAAGTTCATTGCAGGCAAAAGGGGGAAAAACCTACAAAATAAAGAAGCAAGCTTACTTCACGTTTCAATTAAGCTGGTAGCACTGATCTTTGCAATTATATTCATGTTAATAAAATACTTAAAAGGTGTTAATTCAAAAATAAATTAAAATCACTAGTATAATATAAAATGTCAAGGAAGTAGGAAACCAATCTACTATCATGGCTATGCAAATGAATTTATACACAAATCAAAAAATATATGAAAAAATCTGACCATCATCAATACAATAGTTTGTTCTTCCTGCCAGCAACACGCTGGGACAAGTAATAAAATAAAATACATAAGCAGTAAAGCTGTGTACGTAACTGAACCAACAAGTCTTGACTATTCTAATACAGAGTTAGAAGTCCTCCATGAGTCTGAGCTTCCCTCCACTTCTAATTTCACATGCAACAATTTAGGGGAGATGCTGTCTTGAGAGACAGGTCAAATGCGCATATGTTTTTTAAGCAGATATATTAAATGGAAGCGCCCTGTCACCTTCCAGAGATTTCTGCCTCACACTGCCCCATACAACTGAACTGCAGGCATCAGAGCATAGGTCATAGCCAGGAAGCAGTTCACCTAGCCCAGTTTCATTCTATCAGCGATCATCAGAACCGGAAATTCTTAATCATACCACAATTATGCAGATTGCAGCCTAAATGTCCAATCCAGCCTATCCAAAAGCATTTTGACAGTTCTGGTTAAACAACATACTGAGGGCAAGACTTCATTTAAAATTCATATAACTCTCCTGTCAGTAGGTTACCA